AAAAAAAAATAAACAAATAAACTTTGAAGAAATAACATTTCCATTGTTAAAGTTTAAAATTTAAAAACTAAAAAGTTTTTTTCTTTTCATTTACTTATTAAATTACTTAATTTAATATTTCTTTTTTTCTTCATTTTGACTTCAATTAAAAGTTTTTTTTTTAAAGAAGATTCAAATTTAAATTTTGTTTTTTCTTTTTTCATATTAAAATACTTAAAATATTAATTTAAATACCTTTTTAGCAGCAATTTTAGATATACCAATTACATTTTGATTACAATCATATACATTAATACCATTTTGCAATTCATTCCATCGCATACATAATACATTAAGCGAACTTGCAAGTGATGTAGCTGGTAATGGAACAAAACGTTGAATGATAAGACGTTTGATTGGATTTAGCTGTTCAGTACGTTTTATCAACAATGTTAATCCTGAATAGAATAAAATATCCGGTTGAAATTACAAATATCCGTTATTAAAAATATCCTGTTAATAAAAAAAAGATTTTTTTCCACTGTTTTTACAGCATTGGCTATAATATTTAAATTTTGAATAATAAAATTACCGGTTAAAAAAAGATTTTTTCTTTCTTGCTTTGAGGAGCGAAAGATGGAGAGAAGGTTATAATGATTAAAAATTGAAATTTTTAATTTTTCAAAAATTTCTACATTTTTTAATGCATAAAATGTATCCATAGTTAAATATATCTAATGGTAATTAATTAAAATTTTCTAATTAACGATACCTTCTTAAGTTCAATTAACAAAGGAGTTTTTTCTTTTTTTTGACAAAAATTAAATTTTAATCTATGCTGAAATTTTTTTTTTTTATTTTTTACCCATTGCAACAATGCTAGCAGATGAAACAGCTGCACAATAAGCATTCAGATATCGTGATGATGATTGATCCTTAAAAAAGCACTTATGATAAATGATAAAATGATATCAAATGAAATGAAATGGTTAGAAAAAAAAAATCATTGTTACTTTTTTTCGTTGCTCTTTAAATTAAATTAATCGATTATACATAAACTACAAAAGTTTATTAGTTTATTAAATAAACAAATAAAAAAAAGAAAAAGAGAGAAAGCAAATAGAAAATTATTAAATGGAATTATTGAAAAATATTAAATTAGGAAAAGTAAAGAAATGTTAAAATTTGAAATATCTTCAAATTATTAAATGAAATTATTGAACAGAAATTATTAAATGAAAAGAATAATATTAAATAAAAAAACTGTTGAAAATAAAAATCATTAAATTGTTACAAATTTTTAAATTATTAAATAAAAAATAATAAAAAACATTGAATGAAAAAAAAACTATTAGAAATAAAAATTATCAAATTATTAAATAGAAAGAAATTATTAAATAGCAAAATTAAATAAATTAAATGAAATTAGATTGTTAAATGAAATTGAAAAATAAAATTATTAAATGAAATTATCGAAATTATCAAAAATAGATGATAACCTGTGTAGCATTACGATTGGAATAATTAACTAAAGCATTATGTGTTTGATTAAGCCATTGCCAAAAAAGTATTGAAAGCCAAGATGGATTTGGTAATAACATACCAGTAACCTGAAATATGAAATTATAAAAATTAATATGTATAAATTTTTAAAAGATATTTAATTTTTGATATTATTTATGATAAATTTTCTTTTACCAAAAAAAAGAAATAAACCATACCTTCAATTCTTGTCTAAAAAAAAAACTTCCTCCTAATTGTAGTTTATCATAAAATTATTTTTTAATTGGTCTAATTAGCTTATCGAACTTTGCTAATTGGTTTATTGCAGAGCTATTCTTGTTCATAATAATAATAATAATAATAATAATAATAATAATAATAATAATAATAATAATAATAATAATAATAATAATAATAATAATAATAATAATAAACATTAATCCATTAGTAATTTTCCTCCTAAATGAAATTACTTCAAAACCACACTTCCAATTTTTGTCCAAAAAAAAAAACGTTCACCTAGTCATGTATCTTTCTAATTGTCTTAATTAGCTTATCAATTTTCCAAATTTCCTAATTAGCTTATTGTGGAGCTATTTATTAATGTTAAATAAACATTAATCCATTTCCTACTAATCAATTTTTCTTTAAAAAAAAAGAAAGAAATATTTAAAGCATTTACATTTAAAAAGTTGGTATTAAATTTGTGAAAGTTAATTCAAAATAATTTCCATTCAGATAAGAAAAAGAGAGGAAAAGGAAGAAGATTAAAGAATTTTAAAGTTTGATTTAAAAGAAAAAAAAAAGGACCGTTATCCAACCAAATGGTACATAACCACTCATTCGAAAAGGTGGTAAAATTTTTTCACCGGTATCAGGATGTAAAATAGCTGATTTAATTTTTTGCGCTTCCCATAACTGTTGATCGGATATTAATCCGACTTTTCCGGCTTTATAATTATTTAGCAATTCTATACTGTTTTGAAGTTTTTCCTGAAAGAGTAAAAAAAAATAAGTACACAACAAATCCGGTCAATTCTTATTTCAGGTTATGATTAATAATCATTATGAAGAAGCAATTTCTTCATTAAGCAAGTTTACATCTTATGTTACTGAGAAGTAATGTTCTTGAATCAATAACATAGTTTATACCATACCTTACTGGTAAACAACGTTCTTGAATCAATAACATAGTTTATACCATACCTT